TTATTATTTTCTAAGGAGATGTTTGTTGTATTGTAGTGATTTCAAAGTGTCAAGATTCTCCTTTTTTTTTTCAGATTTATTTTTATGTATGTACCTGTGTCCACAGTGTGTGTGTATGTGCCTGTGGAAAGCTGGAAGCCAGGAGACAGAGTCAGACCCCCTGGAGCTGGAGTTAGAGTGGTGGCCCAATGTGGGTGCTGGGGTGTGGGTATTCTTCCTCTGGGAGAGTGGAAAGCACAAAGTAGCATGGTTCTAACTAATCACTCTAATTAGACTAGTCCACCCCTCCCCCACCTTCATTTGGAATGTGCAGTTTTGATAAGGGAAATGAGTGAAATTCTTTGCCTGTTTTCTGGCCTTTAGGTCACATTTCAATCTAGTTTCATATTAACTATTTCCAAAGGCCAGAAAGTGGCTCCCCAGCAGCCTCGGTGAGGGAACAGTGGCAGGCAGCTGGCGTGGGGTGTTTTCAAGCGTGTGTGCTCAGGCTGAGGCTCTCACACACGGACGCTGTATATTCTGTCAAGATAAGCCCCTTTTTATTTATTTACAGAGTGCTTCTATAAATGTGCATTCATTTGGTCTTCTAAACCAGAGGTTTCCTAAGTAGGTTTCACAGGTCCTGGTGCTATGGAAAAGAAATTTTCAACTCTGCTATTTTAATTATGGCTTCCTCTTACCATTGGTCTGTAAGTAGAATCCATAAGACAGTACATTTATTTATGTCTATGTAGGGGTGAGTGTACAGTATTTGTACTTGATGACCAGTATGAGGTCAACAAGGTGGGTGCCATCGATGCCACCACCTCAGTGTCGCTAGACAAGCCTAGGAACCTGCCCGTATCAACAGTGTGGATGCCAGGGACCCACTCAAGGTCCAGCAAATCTCTAAGTTCTGAGGTCTAGAAATCTTTCTTTTTAAAGGTAAGCATAGCGCATGCTTCCAGGGCACACTAAAGCTGGATAGTATCTGTTTTCAAGCTAGAAAAGAGGAATGGTTTCCACTTTAGAGACAAGAAAACTGAGGCTCAGAAAAAGAAATCTAAACCTTTGGTTCATCGCAAGACACACAGGGGACTCCAGGAGCAATGTGACTAAATCCCATTTGTGTGTGAGATGCTGAGCAAGTGTCCTGGGGTCAGAACTTCTGGACTAATGATGCTTGGCTGTAGCTTTGTGTCAAGAGCCAGCCCGAGGTACTTTCTTCACCATTTGGAATCAAGAGAAAGGGGGCAGGGGAGCTCTCCACCAGGACCTGTCCTTTGCTTTTCCTTCTTCAGGATTTTAAAAATTAAATTTAAGATGACTGAAAACTGAGGTCACCAAGCCCCTAACAGCTTGGCCTAAACGTTGGCTTTCTTGAGGTTTCTGACTGTGTTTGGGATTCCCACTGTCAGGTGAAAAGGGACTCAATGTTCTACTCTGTGGCCACCCTTCCCTAGCTCACAGACAGCCTAGTTCAAACAGAGCCAACAGTGTGGGGTGAGCTGCCTGCAGGAAACCTGTATATATGTATATATCACTGGGACATGAGCACACAGTCATCATTCGGCAGTTTTAACTGACGTCTCCTCAAGCCGTGTGCAGAGTGGTTATTCTTTCATTCAGCAAAGACTGAACTTTGTTTCCGCTTGTGTCATACCTGATCTTCCAGCATGGCCAATGGCACCTGCCTGCTAGTTGCTTTGGTGGAAAGGACAGCAGACAGTTGACTTCAAGGGGCTGACTTTCACATGTAGGTGGCTGACTTCAGTCAACATCCTGGCTGACACCCAAAGGTATTTTTTTTTTCCCCCAGAGGCTAGTGAGCTTCTGCAGTCTGTTCCCTAAACCTTCTGAAACTTGACCCGTGTGAGAAACTTACACACTCCGTACATAAATAAACAGGTAACACACCCTTCCTTGTACTCAAGAGGTGGAGAATCAGCAGTTCAAAGCCAGCCTTGGCTACACAGTCAATTTAAGGTTACCCTGGGCTACATGAGACTCTGTCTCAAATAGCCCAAAGTGAAAATGAAAGCTTACTTTTCCATGATCAGGGAAAGCACTTACCCTAAGCAAATGTTGGCTTTTGTGTATTTGTTACTGTCTCTATAACAGAATATCTTTAAGTGGATGAGTTTATTCTAGAAAAAAAGTAAAATAAAACCAGAGAGGGAGAATTCTCTTTTCCATTGTAAAGATGTGTGCAAGATAAAGCCATTCCATATTCCAGCATGGACAGGAGAGGGTTCATGGAACCCCGTCCCTAGCCAAGGAGCTATTGGCAGTTGATGGCTCCTGTAGAGTCAGGCCTCCTTTGGGGTGTGGCCACTTGGAAGTTGCCCAGTCTCCAAAGGATGTCTCCACACCTCTGCATGTGCAGGAGCACCAACTGAACTCAATGGGTTATTTAATAAAATAAAAAAAAAGAAAGAAAGAAAAGGATGTGAAGGTCAGAGGGGATGTATGGTGGGGTCTGAGTGGGTGGGATGGAGGCCTGGCTGGATATGTTCAGTATGTATTGCAAACAAGCTGGTGTGGTGGTGCTCACCTTTAATCCCAGCACTTGGGAGGCAGAGGCAGGTGGATATGTGAGTTCGAGGCCAGCCTGGGCTACCAAGTGAGTTCCAGGACAGCCAGAGCTATGAAGGGAGACCCTGTTTCAAAACACAAAACAGCCGGGCAGTGGTGGTGCACCCCTTTAATCCCAGCATTCGGGAGGCAAGAGGCAGGTGGATCTCCGTGAGTTCGAGGCCAGCCTGGTCTACAGAGTGAGATCCAGGAAAGGCACCAAAACTACACAGAGAAACCCTGTCTCGAAAAACCAAAAAAAAAAAAAAAAAAAAAAAAAAACCCACAAAACAAAACAAGAAAAATATGTGTGTATATCAAACATATATGAATTGTCAAAAATAATATTCTTTAAACAAAGACCTGTGCAAATGAGAGTGCCTTTGATGGGAAGACATCTCCAGTCCAGGCTACAGTAGGGACTGTCCTGCCTGCTATGGTGTGTCCGTGGTGACTACACCAGGCAAGTCATGAGATCTTTGCTCATAGCCCTGCACTCGGCACTTCCTTGTGCTCATACTGTTACTCATAAGAACTGCGGCTTGAGTTCCCCAGCACTGACAGCTCTCTCAGGCTGAAAGGACGTACTGATGAGGCCCAAAGGGAGATGGCAGATGACAGGTGGCATCAGTCACTGACAAATAGGTATGTGCCCTGCAAGACACCTAAATTCTCTTCATTCCTTTGAGGACCTGCCTTGACAATTGTAGCAATCCGCAACTCTTCTGCCTTGGCAACCGAGAAATGACAATTCATATACAGGGTAGTTCACCTTCTACCAGCGAAAAGTGAAATGTAAGTCTTAATTCAGGAAAGCAAGCAGTGTGTAATCATCAATAAATAAAATAATCCTGGGCTGGCGAGAAGGCTGAGCCAGTAAAGGTGCCGGCTGCCACTCGGGACGATCTGAGTTCCATTCCTGGGCTCCATGTAGTTGAAGGAGAGAACTGAGTTCCACGAGTTGTTCTCTGATCTCCATATGCATGCAACACACACACACACACGCACACGCACGCACGCACGCACGCACGCACGCACGGACGCATGCACACGCACGCACGCACGCACGCACGGACGCACGCACACAGTGTAAAAAAACTTAAATCAAAATTGAGATTTAAGGCCTTGCCTTGGAGGAGATGGGAATGAGGATTGGGTTGGAGGGGAAGGCTGGGCGGGGGGTGGGGAGGTGGGGGGGGGTGGGGAGGGGGAGAGGGAGGAGGGGGATCTGTGGTTGGTATGTAAAATGAACAGAAAATTTCTTAATAAAAAAAGGAAAAAATGAAAAAAACCAAAATTGAAATTTAATATTGTAAATTCCATGTGCTACAGTTAGCTATGGACTGTAGAGACCCATGATGTCTGAGCCTGACCTCAGTTGGTCCCTCACAGTGGGTGTGCCTGTGCTTTCAAAATGTTCAGAACATTCCAAAGGGCTCCCTGTCTTCAGCATCACACTTGCAATTAAGTGCCCCCAGGAACACACTACACACACACACTACACACACACACACACACACACACACACACACACACAATGCTGGCAGCTGTCAGACCACCTCATAGAAAAAACCAGATTGGGGAGCTTTTTTTTTTTTTTTTTTTTGGTCTCAGAGCTCTGCGTCCCCTCTGAGGTCCTCCGGTGAAGCCTGAATGTGGGGGTAAAGGTGAATAGGGCCAAGACTGTTTCATAAAAAAGGTTGGAATCCTTGGCTATCTGCTAACCTTCTCAAAGCAGCTTTTGGCAAAAATGAGGCCTCCCAGCTTGAGAGCTGTCAGGGCTGCGGAACTTAGCGGCCATTCCGAGAGTAAACAAATGTGCACACTCACTGAAGTGCTTCCGGGACACACAGACAGCCTTGTCTGCGTCAATCCCTTCTCTACCTGGGCCCTGTCCGAATTTCCTTTTTGGGTCCATTTTGGGGATGTGACTGAAGCTGGGTTGGTGGTAGCTCTCAAGACTTCCCTCTCCTGGACTTCATCCAAAGGCTTAAGGATGTTATATGTCACACTCAATCTGAGTGCCATCCGCGGACCTCTCACAAATCAGTTGTACCATAAGCTTGTGGGTTTGCGAGTTCTGATGTGGCAGAGACTGTCAGCTGCTCACCTCAAAATCAATGTCCATTCTCTCCTATCCTCAGGGATTAGATCCCACATTGATGCGGGATACCCGAATACATAGCTTGATTATGTTTTCTATTCTCTCTTCTCTCCAGCGAGATGTGGCCAAGTGACCAGATGCTAACCAGCCTGGTGTAAACAGAAAGTGGGACTATACCACCTTAACACAGAGGGGGTGCCATGTCTGGCCCTTCCTTTTTTTTTTTACTAGCGTGAATGAATGTCTACCTGTGTAACTTGGAGGAAACATCAATGGTCGCTGATGGTCTGGGACCATCCTATCCAGCTTTGAGACAAGACAGAGACACACACACACATACACATAATGCTATGACGCTTTAATGGGAACCAGACATTTAATGACCCAAACACCTCCGTAAATGGCTTTGCTGTTCCAAGACACTCATGAACTTGAAACTAAAGCACGACACTAGTTTTAAGAAGTAGTTTGGCCAGCCTCCCGCATCCCAAAGGAGATTAAAAAGTAATAGTGTAAAAAAAGTTAAGGTCAAGGTGTTTTCATAGCACAGCTGAGGCCTAACCATTGGTTCACTGGTCACATCTGTCCCACCCCGAAAGGCCACAAAGCTTAACCTGACATTCAACAAGTGGTTAGTTAGTCGATCCCTGGGTGACTGTCCCTGAAGTTAAGCTCTGGCGCACAGTAGGCACTTTAAGTGGATAGTTACCCTTTCTAGGTTGGGTGAATTATTTGGCTCTCAAAAACAAGGTAAAGAAATACATTCAAACAGCATGGCCCATATTTGTGTGCCCCCGGGATCAGGTGTGGGGATATCAGGGCATTCTCATGCACATCTGGACAGATGTTCTGGGGGAGCTTCCAGGGCCGGCAAGCAAGCTGCTTAACTTCTGCATGTGTGTGGTGGACCTGGACACGGAGGCCCACGCTGACTTTGATCCTAGCGTTCTGAATCAGGGTCCAGCTACCCAGAGGGATGCTGCACATGGCAAGCAGGCAGGCAGGGTGGCGCAGGTCCTGGCGATGGGAAGAGAACGGCTGTAAACACGTGGTGTGGCTGGTGAGGCTGCCTGGGCACACCTGCAGAGTGGTTAGCTCCATTCGCCTCTCTCTGTCTGCTCAGTGTGACTGCAGCTCCCCCTGATCTGCCTCCTCTGCATCTTCTCCTGCAGTCGCAGCTTCTAATGCTGCCAGGGCTTCGGCCACCTCAGCGTCCTCATCGACCACCACCCCATCTCTGTCCTCATTGTAGGTGCGGGGGACTTCCGGCTCATTTCGACGATCAACCGCTGGCGGGGGGTGAGCGGGACCCTCCTCTTTAAAGTAGACATTCAGAACTTCCGTAGTCACCGCCTCATTCAGGGAGTCCCAGCTTCTCTTCAGGGAGAAGGGCAGGCTCAGACCCTGCTCACTCACCCTGGGGTGAATTCCCGGCAGGGGCTCCACCTCAGAGTGGTTCTCAAAAAGACAATCCTGTTCTTCAGGGTCTGCATGGTCTAGTGTGGGGCTCCAGAGCTGGGGGTAATCCGGGGCTGGTATGTGTAGGACGTGGTCTGCCCCTGCCAAGACCTCAGCAGGGGCCCTGCAGTCTCCACGCCCCACCATCTGGGTCTCTTCCGAGGTGGGCACGGTGCAGCTCTGCTTCCTGCAGTCCTCCCCTTCAAGGAAGGGTTGAGTTGGGTGAGTGCCATCTATGGTACCTGCCCAGGAGCTGCTGGCCCAGGAGACACCATCAACCTGGTGCGGCCTGGGACTCCTGACCAAATGCAGAGTGGCAGTGGGGCTGATACCATTGACAATACCATGCTTCTCCGCACAGTGTCTCTCTTCCGAGTCCTCCTGAGGGAGCGGGCCTTGGCGAGGTAGACCAGCTGTACCGTCTTTGTTCTCCGTCTTGGTCAGGCTCCCACCATGCAGGGCATTCCTGGGCACCTCAACCTCACTGTTCTGGGTGCCTTTTAGTCTGACAGTGTCATCCTCCTCCAACCTGCAGTTGTTGACTTCGTTGACGAAACCAGGAGAGGGCACTTGAACTGGATCAAAGAGATAGCTGGGGATGAGAGGAGTAGGCATCAGTTAAGTTGGCCTCGGGACAGAGGAGCTGGGGAAGGAACTAGTTCCTGTGATTGTGTCTAAAAGAATAAATATACTTGGCATAGAAATCTTTGGCTAATGAAAAGAGCTAAAGGGACCCCAAAGGAAGGGATAGGTGAATTATAAAGTAGTTCATGGACTTTAAAAATGAAAATTAAAAAAATGTCCACTAACAGGGAAATAAGGGGCTAAATACCAAGTATCAACTGTATATTTCTCCAGTGGAATATTATGCAGTCATGAAAACGATAAATATAAAGTATGTGGTAGAATAAAAGAAACAATCACTGGGGGATTAGTTCTAGGACCCTCATACATAACAATATCTGTAGATGCTCAAATTTTCCATGTGAAATTATGGCATATCTGCATACACCTCATTACACTTCAAGTCATTTCTAGGTTCTTTATTCTACCTAAGGCAAGATAAATGCCATATAGATTATTTTCAATCTGGACTTCTTAGGGAACAAAAAGAAGAAAGTCCCAATGTTCAGTACAGACGTGGTTTCCTTTCTGAATATTTGAATCTACGGTTGGTGGACTCTACGGCTATAGAGTCCATGGAAGTAGAGAACTAATACTGTAGATAATAAACACTTGTGAACAAAGCCCAACATCACATGGCTCTGATGGAGTAAAGCTTGTAAGTGTGTGTTTGGACTCAAATAAAGTCAGAGCTTCCCGCTGCCCTGCCTCTCCCACCCCACCCCAGAAAGTCATGTCCCCAGTGAATCTGTCTTCCTTATGATTCACATCACTCAAAGTTTTATGAAATGTCACAAGAAAGGTGACTGGACTCTTTAGTGTCAACGATGTCACTTCAGGAAACCTCTAAACTTGAGCTGAGCTTTTTTTTTGTTTTCACTGAAGGCTTTGTGAGAAATATAAATTTGACCAAAATGGAATTTGACCTCAGGAGTAATGGTATGTCTAACAGTTTTGAGCAATGAGAAAATTAAAAAAAAAATCTAGTTTTCTAAATGCTGTCAAATGGAGCCAAGGCTTCATGTCTTGGCAATGTGGGTCAAACCTGAGCTGGCTAAATGCCCTGATGGTGTCACAATTTCATTGTGACTTTTTGAGCTGCTGTCACGTGTCCTGTCTTTATGGATTTATTTATTTCTATTGGTCTTGCTATTGCTTTAGCGTTTGCCATTGGATAAAACAACGGGTTTCAAGATGACATTTTCATACCTGTCTATAATTGACTTTGGTTATATCCATCCCCACCCTCCAGTGTGTCCTCCCCACCCCCACTTGTCCCCTTCTCTCCCTAGAGTCCCTCTCCTACTTTCATGTCTTACTTTATGGGCGTGGTCTCAACATGACTGACTACCAATTCCCTTTGCCATGCAATCTCTGTTCACTTTACCTTTGTATCATCTTACAACACTTGCACCCCATCTGGATTATTTTTTGTTACCATCTGGAAAAGAAAGAGTAAGAAAAAGAGAATGTCATTAGTCCTACTAGTGAGAATCAAGTTTACTTTTCCTTTTGAGACACTCAAAATGAAGAGTTGTAAGTTCTGGTCCAAGGATAGCGCATGAATCATGAAGACAGAACCCTCTCATGTCTCTGACGTCATGGATTCAGAGTTCCCAAACATTCTTTAAACTTGACCCACACAAACTCCTTTTCAGCCATCCAAGCTTTATATTCCGCCCCCATCTGCAGATGAGAAAAGCATGATGGGATAATGTCAGGAAGCAAAGGGACCCATGATCTTTAGTGACCTGTGGCCTTCCCCAGGGACCCAGGAATCTTCCTGGACACAGTACCGCTCAGCAGTAGGAGGTGTAAACATTCCTAGAGGATTCCTTGTCACCTCCTCAGGTATTAAGAAGGCAATGGTTTGGATCTTGAATGTCCATCAAAGGCCCATGTGTTGAAGGTCACCAGTCTGTGGTACTACTGGGAGGTGGTGGGCCTTTTAGAAGGTGGAATTTAGTGGACAAAAGTTAGATCATTAGGGGGTGTGCCTAGAAAATATGTGGACCCAGTACTCTCTTTTTTATTTTTCTTATTTCTCAGTTGCCTTCAGGTGACCAAGTATCTTCTGTCACATGATCCTACCATGATGTACCATACTGATACAACCTCAAATAACAGGGCCAGGTGACTATGGACTGAAACTTTCAGAACTCTGAACCAAAATGAACCATCCCTTCTGGGAATCAAAATAAACCATCCTTTCTTATCTGTTGACGGGCTTAGGGACTTGTCAGAGAAATGGAAAGCTCACTAGCATAGACAGTGAGTATTAAAGATGGCTGACCATGTGTTTCCTGATTCAGCCCTTTGGAGTGGTGCAGCCTAAGCAGGATGCCCGTGTTAGCTTAGCCTGAACCAGTGTGCTCCTGATGTGCCATCTCCACAGCCAGGACAATCCCAGTCATCACTCATGAGTTCCATTCGCTTGCTGGTCAACACCATGCCTGCAATACCATGCCCTGGGGCTTCCTAGTGAAGGTGGTGGAGTCCTTTCCCACCTGCTCACTGTGCCCTGCTCCTTCCCAGGTTGGAATTTCTCCATCGCTTCCCTTTGAACAAAATCTTCTTTTCATGCAAAGCTGGCCACCCTGGCCTGCTGGATTCCTCAGTGAATCCCAAGTGTTGAAACCGGAGGACCTCTTAGTGGTTTTCTGTTTCTTATGTGTACAGCCTTTCAGAAGACAAATGGACACCAGGACCTTCAACCTAGTGCCTTTGTCTGCAAAGTTCATTTGGAGAGATGATTTGCCTGTGGCTGCCTCCCTCCCTTCTTCCTTCCTTCCTTCCTTCCTTCCTTCCTTCCTTCCTTCCTTCCTCCCTCCCTCCTTCCTTCCTACCTTCTTTCAATTATAGACTCCCCAAGATGATACTCTATAATATACTAATATAACAATACTCAATCAGTAAGGAAAACATCTGCAGCTGCTATGAACTACAGGTTGGTTGGTTAGTTACAGGGGTTTCAATTTACTATGGTAATAAAATCAGTACCTATGAAGTAAGTGGAAAAGTCGTTTCCTAAAAGATATACACACTTGACTCCTTGGAATCTGTGAATGTTACCACGGCCAAAGCAACCCATCAAACAAATGTGGAGGTAATCAAGTTAAGGACCTCAATATGGGGATATTCCAAAGTTCAGTTATATTTGTGCTCCTAAGCCAAAGGCCAAAGGAGATTTGGTCCCAGACAGAAGAGGGAGAGACGATGTGGTTATAGAGGCAGAAGTGAGGGGGGCCATACCCCTGAGGAACAGGGCCCTGGTAACACTCAGTGTCCTTTAGTGCAACCCACTGATACCAGCTCTAAAAGCTCTGGCTGCTTGTCTGAAAACCCCAAGTTTGTTGGACTTTTTCCAGCACCACAGGAAGTGCTTCCAGACCCACCCCACTTCTCCCAAGCCCCGAATCCCTGAGCTCCTGAATGTGCAGGTCCGCGTGGCCACACAGCCGTCTCTCTTCGGCTTCCCTCTCGACTCTCTCCCACTTGTCCTCCTCGCGTGCCCTCCTACTAGGCCTGTCACAGATTCGTCTGGATATGTCACAGACTCATTTCTGATCCACCTTCCCGACAGAGTCAGCTCTCCAAGCCTCATTTGTGTTTTTAAAAGACACACATCTTGGACTCACAAGACATGCGATCTAGTTGCCATGACGCAGGCGTTAGCCACACCAAGAAGTAGCTGTTTCTGGAATAAAGACCAATGGTGCATGTCTGTCAGTCATGACATCAAGTGCAAAACATACATAGACCCAAGTACAGCAGCCCCTCAGAGAAAGAAGGGATGGGATGCTTAAGTAGCAGCACGTAAACGCGCGCGCGCGCGCACACACACACACACACACACACACACACACATGCACACGCACACGCACGCGCACAATGACTTTTAGGATTATGCTTCTAGCTCTAGCTCCCCACTGCCTCGCTTTCTGCTCTAACTCATAGATGAGATGGATAAATAGGTTAGATTTGAAAGTACCATGCGCATTTCTCCCCTCCTCCAACCTTTCCCTCCCCATTTCAGGACTGGTGCTGAAATTCTGACTGCCGTACTTTTGCTTACTTTGGAGTCTTGTTTTTTTTTTTTTTTTTTTTTTTTTTTTTTTTTTAATCCAGATAGGAAGGTAACTAGGGAAGACAAAGTTGAAGAAAAGGAGAGGGGGCGCTCAGCAGTGTTTGTGAAACCACAAAGGACAGACTGCAGACAGCCCTGTAAATGAATATTATGATGAGTAGGTCAGCTTTTGGAGTTCTAGTTTAGCGGCCGGAAGAGAGGGAGAAAGAAGCACCCGGGGGTGTAGGGGTTGGGGGTGTGGGGGTTGGGATTGGGGGTTGGGGGTTGGGGGTGTCGGTCCGTCCCAGCTTCCTAGTAGCTGCTAGGATCCTGGGGATCTATTACCTAGTGAAGCTTGAAAACCTTTTCTCACCTTCTTCTGGGCTCAGGCCACAGAGTAAATTGCTTAGAAATGCAAGAACGGCTGGGATTTAACACTCCTCCTCCAAAACCACCGATATCCCAAGGAGGACAGACAGACAGAGGTGGGCAGGCTAGAGACTGAACCCAAGCCCTTCAACTGTGTATGTTTCCTGCCGTCTTCAGGCTCCCCATCTCTCCTCGGGAGACAGGATCCACACTGCTCTCCCAAACCCTGCAATTACAGGCTGTTGGAGTAGCTTTTCCCTCTTTAGGGTCAGTTTCCTGCCTTTTCTCCCCAAACCTCCTCCCTTAGGGTCCACCTCTTGGCTTTCCTTCACATCTAGTCTCATACCTGAGAGCCATGCTTTTGAGTCAGGACCAGCCTGAGCTGTGGGACACGCTTCCTGGTTCAGGTCCTGCCCTCTCTTTCCACTTGGTGATTTCCTTTCCTGGTGACATTCCTTCTCTCAACTGGCCTCTACTGTTCAAGGTTCTATGACCCACAGGTGAACAGGGTGGGGACGAATGTACTCACCCCCTTCCCCTGCACACACCCATATCTGCGATTATTCTTCCTTATACACACTAGATCAAGTTCAATCCATTTCCCATGCCTATATCAATAGCCCATCCACCTCTTGCCTGAAAAAAAGAAACTTTCTGAGCAAAAGGGAAACATCCCTCCTCCAGCGTCATGCATGGAATTAGAAAAATACCAGCCCTTGAAGGAAGACTGAGTTCCGAAGGAGCAAGCTACCCACCTTCTTCCTGCTTGTCTTTTGGAAGCAGCAGTCTGACTTAGAGTGGGAGCCCTGGAGAGAGCTAAGGGGAATCCAAATTTGCTTTGTCTTTGGAGTGATATAAACAGCTACAGGGAAGCAAAGGGCACATCTTTGGCAGCCAGGGTTTGGTTTACACAGGGGAAAAGCAAATACCATTAGGATGGCTGAGTCTACCTACTGCTGGCGCCACCTGCTCCCGGACTCCCACACACTGCTTGACTCTGTCCCATGTTTCGCGTCGAAATTAAACAGCCCTGTGTTTGAAGACGGTCAGGGCTGCATTAGTGAGTGGTGAAATCTCCAGGCAGGAAAATCCTGTTTCACGATGGGGATGGGGGTGGGGAGAGCAGGACAGGGGGAGCCTTGGAGTTTTCTAAAAGAGAAACTGACCACATTCATCGGGGCACCACGGGGTGAGAGCTGGTGTGGAGAGTGATTGCTTGGAGCCAGCTTACGGGGGTTCTACTGGCCAAGTCTGGCATCATCAGACCGTGAAAACAAATAGGACTATCAAGAATTCTAGCCCGCTGAAGAAAACGTGAGCAACAAGACCACGGTGAGATGAGTTCGAAAGAGAAAGGGCCAGGTTTGTCACGCAAGTAGGAAACCGGCTAACAAACATACACGGGGTAAGGGAACTAGGAAGATCGCCATTTGTTACTCCTCGTAGTAATAATGGATCCAAGTAAGACTCCCCGATGAAGGCCCAGGGAACGAGAGGGGTTAGAAGAATGAAAGGGCCAGATGATGGGGAGCCGGGCTGTGAAACACTATCTTCTGGACATGCCATAACCGCAGAGCTCATAAACTTACCTGCATCGGGCCTACACAAGACAGAGGCACCAAGCAGTCAGAGATGAGGCCCTTGTCCTCAGGCCGACCCTCCCCTCAGAGGGAAGCCCTGGACATCTACCTCAAATATTGCATACAAATGCATGGAACACTTTGTCCTCACGAGTCAAATGTAGGAATGACGGGTGAGTGACAGGTGGGAAAAAACGGGGCTGGCTATCTTGTGTGGTGTTGTTTTGTTTTGAAACAGAGTCTTGCTATGTAGTCCAGTCTGGTCTGGAACTCACTAGGGTCCTTCCTCAGCCTCCTGAGTGCTGGGGTTCCATGTGTGTACTACCCTTGGTATATCAGATTGGATAAGCCATTCCAACCGAGGGTCTTTTCATTTCCAGGTTCAGATCGCACAGGTCCCTACCCAGTGGTCCTGAATCACAAGTC